GTCCCGTCGGGGTCCAAACACACTGCTGAGAACCGAACAGGGCGCAGACACTTTGGGCATGGGGCCTGTTGGGAGCAACGTTACCCTGCCGCTGTGGGCGAGGCCCCTCGGAGGTCTGCAACTGTACCTTCTGAAACTCTGGGACATCGAGCGCGGCGCGGAGCAGTCTCATTCTGACAAGGAAAGCCTTTTGCTCGATGAGTGCATGCTGTTGCCTCTCCGTCGTGATGGGGCGTGCCTCGCTGGCTGCGATGCCCGCGAGCTCGTCTGCGACGGCGTTCCGGTAAGCCAGGGAGGCCTGAATCCGTCCAGCCAGTATGTCATCAGCGCTCTGGTGGGACGGGATCCAGATGATGGTGGTACGTGATACTTCTCTGCTGGTTGGACCTCTGGAGTCGGAGCCACAGGTCAGGCCCACGTGGCTCCTGCATGTGTCCGTTGTGGTCGTTGAGGTAGCATCCTTCGCTGCCTGTGAAGGAGACGAGGTCACGGTGGGTGCCTTCGGCAGCCGTGACGATGGCGAGGAGCTCTCCGCGTATGACTGTCTGCCGTTGTCCAGGTAAGGGTCCCCAGTAGGCGGCTTGCAGGTTTATGCTGTTCTTGTCGAGGTTCTTGTAGGTGGCTACTCCTATCCCGATTTGTCGCAGTGGCGTATTGGCCGTCTCCTTGCTTCCGCTGGCATCGCCGAAGGCGTATAGAGTCGGCCCAGATGAAATCCATACAGCCTGGGTGATGGCTGTCCATCGCGTAGCATGTCCACTGTTTTTGCTGTGCTGGCGGCGTGGTGATGGTCCAGCTGGTGGGCATCAATCCGCGCGTCCAGAAACATTCGTACATGTGCCGTTGTGCCGGTGTCTCGGGTGTGAGGTGGCTGGTATTGCTGATGATAGAGTTGTCCCTGTTGGCAGTACAAAACCACGCTCGGTGATAATCGTCCTCGTCGGCTTCGAGGCATCTTGGACACTGGTTGGTGACATCGGATAGTTTGGTCTCCGTAGCGATGCGCTTGCGTGTCTACATAGCTCCAGGCGATGGTTCGCATGAGGTTAGCGAACCTGTGGCCATGCGGAAGCTTCTCGAGAAACTACAGTAAGCGCCGATCTGAATAGTTGTCGGCCCCCTGTTGGGGTCTCTCTCCTCCGTGGTGGAGGCTAGCTTGCTGCCATAGCTGGTGCTGGATGCTGGCGTCGATGTCACGCAGTAGCTGGTGCGGGATGTCCGCGTCGGGGAAGCCTGACAGCTGTGTAGTGTCGAACTCCGAAGCGTCCCCAGTGTCGGCGATAGCCTTTGGCATGGTCCAGCGGTTCGGCATGCCTGGTTCCCATCCCAATTGCACGAGGTAGTGGATGATGGTGGACTCCAGGCCTCGGATGTGCCGGGCGCGCTGGTTGGCTGGTAGGGTCTTGAAATGCTCGACGACTTGCTTCCAAGTGGCGATGGTGGTACGCTGTAGTGGCGCACTCTGTATACACGTGGTGAGCCATACAAAGAACACCTCCCTTGGCAGCTTGCGTGCATGATCGTTGCGCTCAGCACGTAGGTCGGGTGCTGTAGTGAGGCACCTGCCTCGGAGGCGTGGTGCTATGACGTCGGCGAGTCGCCTGCGGTAGGTGACCATCTGTGTGCCGAAGGCGCCGTAGACTTGGTGGCCGTAGGTGGCTGCAGCAAGGCCCCCTTGTAACCCCAGCTTGCCTGTGAGACGGTAACGACGGGTGGCGCGGGCGATGCGGACGATCTTGGCGTGCATGGTTTTGTATCGTTGCTTCCGTACCGTGGCGGTGGCACGTGTGTGTCGGACTCCGCTTCCCAGGTCGACACCGCGGTACTTGGCTTGAAGCTTCGGTTGGACACAGTATCCGTGTCGTCTCATGGTTTTGGCGATGTGTTTGGCGTCTAAAAAGTAGGTGCAGAGGATGGCGCTCTTCTTGGCGATGTTGAGTCCTTGATCTTGGAGCGCATTGCAGGTGCCGAGCAATACCTTGACCATCTGTCGTCGGATTGTCTGTCGGCATGTCTGCACACGCTGCGACAGGTCGTCGACCCATATGCGGTGGTGAGTGTTGGCGTGCTGCTCGGTGATGCGTTGTAATGCCTTGTATGTCATGATCTTGGCGAAGCGAGTGTCCGACCTGAGTCTTTGCACAGCAGATCGGGTTGGCAGGACTGCTTCGGCGAAAGCCCCGCTCTGCGTCAGGTAGCGGGGTGCTGTGCATTGGAGGACCTCGAGACCTAAAACTTCGGGGGTGGGAGTTGAGGCCGAGAGCCTCGTCGATCAAAGTGGTCCAGCGGATGGAATCGTAGAACTGGGAGATGTCGAGGAGTCCGTGTGCCTGGGGTATGCCCAGGTAGTTGGGGACCTCTTCGTGCAGGCAGCGCTCGCAGGTCTCCCTGAAGGCAGAGTTGCCCTTGGCGATGGCGTCCCAGTGTGCAAAGTATTCCTTATTCCACTGCTGTGCATGTGCTTCTCGAGGAGGAGAGGGAGGCGGAGGAGGAGGAGGGGGAGTAGGAGGAGGAGGAGGGGGAGGAGGAGGAGGGGGAGGTGGAGGGGGAGGAGGAGGAGAGGGGGAGGAGGAGGAGGAGGGGGGGGGGGGAGGAGGAGGAGGAGGAGGAGGAGGAGGAGAGGAGGAGGAGGAGGAGGAGGAGGAGGAGGAGGAGGAGGAGGAGGAGGAGGAGGAGGAGGAGGAGAAGAAGAATAAGAAAAAGAAGAAGGGGCGCGATGGCTGTAGCTCCTCGGATAGTTAACGCTAAGAGGTATGTAATAACTGCCCCCCCCCCCGAGGGAGCACCAGGCTCGGGATGGGGAGCGCGGGAATCTCGGCCTCCTAGATGGGGTCGGAGTAGATGGGGTCGGAGGATCGATCGGCAATGTATCGGCGATGTGGCTCGACGTGGGCTCCAAGTTTCCCCACGTCGACGTCGCCGATGCATCGCCGACGTCGCCAGTGCATGGCCGATGCATCGCCGATGTATCGGCGATGCGGCGAGATCCTCTGACCCCATCTACTCGGAACCCACGTAGGCGGCCTCTAGGGGAACCCTGGCAACGGGGAGGGGGGACCCTGGCAGTGGGGAGGTGGCGGGGGGGGGCGCCGAATATTATTTTGGGGGCTAGCGCCGCCGTAAACTAGGACCTCACCTGAAAGGGCAGGAGGCAGGTGGAGCTCAGAGTCTATACCCTCAGGGAGCTCCACAGAGGTCAGTACATAAATTGTCTTCAACATGGGGATAGTCGCCGTTCCGATGGCAGCATTACTGCGTGAGCCACACCCGTCCAGACGACTCGCCTGCCGCCTTCGGGAGATATCGTATTTGACTTTGCCGCGACATAGCCGTTGGAGGTGGGAGGAGAAGGAGGCGGAGGAGGAGAAGAAGGAGAGCGATGGCTGTAGCTCCTCGGATACTTGAGGAAAGGCCGCCAGCACCAGGAGAGGGAGGTGGAGGCGAACCCTCTCTCGGGCCATCTTGTGGCATTTTTGTCTCGGCCTCTTGGGTCATCTTGGGCATTCGGGACGTCTTGTTCATTTGACGGCGTCGCACGCAATCTCGGGCACATCGGGAGCCTTAGAGACCATTAGGAGGGCGTAAGGCTTCCAGATATAAGCTCGAGCGTGAGGCGGTGCACGCGCCTGGGCGTGGCAATCAACAGACGGCGTCTGGAGTGTGCCACGCGGGCCAGACGAACGGGTGGGATTGTGAAAGGGAGGCTGCGAAAGTTGTTGTTGCCTACAGATGGTTTCGCCCTTGCCACCATGCTCTTTCCAGGGGTCGACCTAATTGGTGGTTTGGCGATTTCGTGGGCCGCTTTTGTTTCGATGTCGCTTTGCAGCACAGGCGGATTGAAGACACAACGAGGGAAAAACGAAGACAAAACGAAAACGAAAAACACTGCTTAGGTTGATAACTGGCCCTCTCCTCGATGCATGGCCGTCTCTGGCGCAAGGAGGCGCCGGGGGAAACAGCTGCGTGCAGCTGCCCCCCTTTGGTGTCACCCTGGTCGTCCGCCCCGGCAGGCGTGCCAAGGAACGGCGCACGCGGGGTTTTCAGCAGTCCTTGAGCGATCCTGGAGTTCGCGGGCGAAGAACGGTATAAATGTTCCAGTCGCCGTGTGGCAGACGTCCCCGACGGTGGAAACGTTTATTTTATACAGTTGTTCGTCCCCTAATGGAAGGGGGGTGGCAGTACGCATCGAGTGGGAGGAGGATCCAGGAGTGTGGATGGTCGAAGAACCACCAATCTGCATAAACAAGCTTTCGCTGCCCCGCGCAGATTTCTTGGATCTGCGCTGGACCCCCCTGGCGGCGCCTCCAGCGCTGCACCTGGCTCGCTCCGCGCGCCGCGGAAGGCGGGCTCAGCGCGGATCCAAGACATTCGTGCGGACTTCCAAAAGGTTCAGGTTACGCAGTTGTTGCTTACTCTATGGACTGAGGATGGATGCCGTGAAGCCTGGGTTTTGTCTGAAAGCATACGGCGGGCGCGTCGTATCCTCGTGCCCCCCAAGCCCTCGCAGGTCGATCGGGCTCGAGGATTCCCGTGTCAGGGTGGTGTCGAGAGCCTTCGTCGTGAATTTTCTGGCGCCGCTATTTGTTCACAACGCTGTAGCGAAGCAGAGGGAGGGAGTGGAAGGAGAAGGGCAAGGCGGAGGGGGGCCTGAGGAACAGGAGGCGCGAGGCGGGAGGCGGGACGAGACGGAGGATCCGGAGCTGGACGCTGTGGGGGAGAGGAGGCGCGCTCTGAACGAGGCGGGGGAGCTGGTTCCGCGCAGCGCCCTCCACCTGCACCTCTGCTGCTTCGTCCTCCCGCTCCCCCTCCCACTCCTGCCCTGCAGCCTCCTGCCTCCTCCCACCTGCACCTCTGCTCCTCCTCTGCTTCCACCTGCACCTCTGCCCTCCCCTGCTTCCACCTGCACCTCTGGTCCTCCTCCCCCTCCCACTCCTCCCCTGCGGCCTCCTGCCTCCCCCGCTGTTCCCGTTTCCTCGCCCTTGCTTGCATGGCGCCGCGAGGTTCTACACCGTCCATTGGTGCGAGGCGGCGTGGTGCGGCATCGTGATTCTGCTTTTCATGCCGCTCATGCGGGTTCGTAACATTCAGGACGCGCGCGCGCCTTCATATCCGGCCTGGGCGCCCAGGGATCCACTCGTTGTGCAGGCATTCCCCGTCGAGGGAGGCATGCCCCGCTCCCGTCGGAGAGGGGCATTTGTGATCATGTGCTCGCGGGAGGTCGAGGAACGAAGGAGGGGAGCGACGAAATGGAGGAGGAGGACCAGTGCGATCCCAAGAGTCATCAATGATGTTGGAATAAACCCTCCCTCCAAGCTCCCCTTTCACAGGCCCCTACAAAGGCTCCTTTACACTGAGGGGAACTGCCTCGTTGGAAGGCAACCGCTCGAAGACCCAGAAGCGTGCAAAAGCATTGTTCTCGGGATTTCAACGCGACGGATCATTTTGACTGTTGCGTCTGGACGATCCTGAATCGCGTCAGAACGCCATTCCTGGGACTTCAACACCGCGAATCAATGTAACTGTTGCACCCTCATAATCTTGAATTGTTCTGCAGCGCCATTTCTGGTACGTTAATCATAGGGACCCGTGAAGCTTACAAATGTTACAGACGATTGTGCGCGGCGCGAAGGCGAGAGCCACATTTTGAAAAGGAACCGCCCTCAATCCGCGAAGCCCTTGCAACTTTTTAAAAGCGAATGTGCGCGACGCTCAGGCGAGAGCCACATTTTGGAAAGGCGGCGCCCTCATCCGTGAAACTCTTTCAGATCTGTAGGACGAATGTGCGCGGCGCTACAGCGAGAGCCACAGTTTGAACACCACCCGCCCTTAACCAGTGAAACTCTTGCAAATGCGTAGAACGAATGTGCGCGGCGCTAAAGCGAGAGCCACATTTTGAACGCCGCCCGCCCTTAACCAGTGAAACTCTTGCAAATGTGTAAAACGAATGCGCGCAACGCTAAGGCGGGAGCCACATTTTGAAGACCAACCGTCCTCAATCCGTGAAGCTCTCGCAAATGTGTAAAACAAATGTGCGCAGCGCTAAGGCGAGAGCCACATCTTGAAAACCACCCACCCTCCATCTGTGAAATTGTTGCCAACTTGTAAACTTCAGGGTCATCAAAGGTGAGGAGGTCTCAGGCGAAACGCCCGGTCCGCCCTAAAAGCTGGCATCGGGGTGCGACAGGGAGAAGGTTTTTTATAAGGGAAAGGAATGGAGAAGGAGGAGAAGGAGGAGGAGGAGGGGGAGAAGGAGACCTCCGCCTCCCCCCTCTCCGCCCTCCCTCATGTACCATCTCTCCCCCATCATATGTTCCAACCACTTCCTCTTGACAGCTCTTTGGTTGAAGCATTCTCCTTCTCTTCCTCGTTCTGCTCCTCCTGCTCTTTTCCCCATATTCCCCTTCCCCTTCCTCATGTATCCTCCGTCACGTCCACTCCTCCTTCTCCTCCTCGTCCTCGTCGTTATCCTCATATTCCTTATCCTGCTTCTCTTGTTCCTCTGCCTCCTCCTCATCCCCTCATCCTGATGCATCTATTCCCTCAATACTATCCTTCTCTTCCTTCGCTCCTTCGCCCCCTCCCTCCTGCAGTTCATGTGCTGTGCGCATGCGTTTAGGACAACACCCCCTACACTGGGTCTTCCGCGCGCTCCTGCCTACACTGGTGTTACACAGCACTATTGGTGATCATGTGGGTCCCACGTCGGAGTATGGTATATGGCAAGGAAGGGCTCAGAGGGACGAGGGTGATGCCGTCAGGTTGCACCCATCGGATCTCACTGCGCACGCCGATCTGCTGCTGCGGCGGCCACAGCGCCTTGCTGCGAGAGGCCGCCGGCGGCAACGTTCGGGGTGTGCTTGGTGTTCGCTGGTAGAAGCTCGACCGGGCATCGGAGACGGCACCACGGAAGAACAGCAAGTCAGCGGCGAAGTCCGACGAACATCTGGGCGACTGGAGCTTCAGGACACGTGCACTGTCACCGTGTCCGAGTTCGTGGCCGCCGCGGGGTGCCTTTAGGGCCGCCGGCCTCCGAACATGCGCTGCCCGCCCACCAGGTGACGATCCCTGATCGGGCGAGCTGCCGCGAGGGGAGCTCAGAGGAGAAACGGGGACCACCGCCACCGAGAGCCCATCGGAGCGTCGCCCTGCCGCAGCCCCCGAGGGCAGCCCGGGCATCCGACAGCATTCGGAGGCTTGGAAGTGGGTGGGCAGCAACACCCAGACAGGGGGCCAGGGGGAGGATGGTCCCAGATTTCGGTGCCGGCGGTAATCTCCTGGCCGCCCAAGAAGCCCGAATTCGACCACCACCACCGAGATCGGGATGACCCCTCCCTCGGTGGAGGTACTCCGCCGATGTTGGTGTTGGTGCCGACCTAAAGCCATCCGACTCACGGCTTGGCCCCCTGGCCTCTCGACCCCCTGTCCCCCAGGTTGTCCGCTTGTGGCGCCGACGGGGCCCAAAGCGGGCCTCCAGGCCCCCATGCTCCCAGGAGAAGCCGGCCGTCGCGGCTTCTGTCGTGGCGCCGGGTGCGTGGGCAGGAGACGAAAAGGGTCAAGGGCACCCAGATGGGGTGGTGACCATACCGTGTGGTGAGTCGGTGGGGATTCGGGATCACCGCACGGTTTTGGGACTCGGGTCGTTTTCCGAGAACGTCTCGGGCGACTGGGGCAGCCGAGGTCCCAAGACCGTGCGTTGACGGACCGTGCGGGGAGGCCTTGGGGGATTTCGAGGTCACCGCACGGTCTGTCACCGCACCGTTTCGGGACTCCAAGAAGGGGAAGGGGGGAAGCGAGGGGGGGCGGCCTTCGAGGGAGGCGGGAGCCCAACGGAGAGAGGTTGAAGTATCAAATTGAAAGGTTCATTGAGTGTTGAACTAATGGAATCAAAGAGTGGAGGCCATATGGTGTACCTCCATTGGTGGTGGTAGGCTTATGGTGGCCACCGTTGGTTGTGGAGGAACCTATGGTGCCCTTCCGTGCCCACCCCGTCCCGTCCACAAGGACTTCGCACCTCCCCCTATGGTGGGAAGGTGGGTGGACGGGCCGCCCCCCCCTGGCGTGGCACGTACTACGCCAGGGGTGGTGGGGATTTTTTGCCGATAAGTAATATCCCCCCTTCCCTATCCCGTCTCATCCCAGGGTGCCCCACCGAATGTTACTTAAGACCGGTGTAGGGGATGCCTGCGGTGGGGTTGGCCTGAAGTGTCCGGCCAGAGCCGTGGAAACTTTGGCCTGGATCGCCTGCGGGGGGGTTGGCCCGAAGCGTCCGGCCAGAGCCGTGGAAATTTTTAGCCTGGATCGCTTGCGGGGGTGTTGGCCCGAAGTGTCCGGGCTTGTACGTAGACACGCGAAGTTCTCAACCTGCGCCGCAGTCGCCCATCACCTCGGAGGCGAACCCGAACAAGCAACGACAGAGTCTGGATGCCTTCACGGATGCATGAGCGCGCTGGGATCGAAGGTCCCCAGAAAGTTTCCCCCACCCAACGGGGGGAGGCGGAAGGGGGAGGAGGCGGAGCAGGGGAAGGCGGAGGAGCGGGAGGGGGGAGGAGAGGTGAGCAAAACAAGGTGAGGCTCCCCGCGGACGTGGCACCCATTTCATATCACTGCCCATCGCCACAGCGACAGGTTGTATTCTACGCGCGCGAAGCCCTGCTCAGCCCCTCAGAGGCCCACTTCTCCAACAGTTCCGTTGTGTAGTTCGCGGCCCTGTGCAGGTGCCGCGTGAGCAAATCCAAGACCTCCGCCATTGAGTCAACCGGGCGGGTGTAGTCCCGCACGCTGGCCACCGCTCCGAGTACGAACCCTCGTTTCATAGACAGGAACGTGGCTGTAAAACGGCATGCACCCCGTGCCCGCCCCAAGCGCCTTGGTAGATGGGCGCGTGCAGACCGTGCCGTCGAGCTGGAGCACCAAATCGACACCTACAAGCGTGAAGCTGGTGTCGACCTCCATCGGAAGCGGGTAGCGTAGCCGCGCCGACTCCCCCAACACAACGGAGATGTATCCAATGTCCCCAGAGGATAATGAAGGGGGGCCCCTTTCACAACATTACGTAGTCATCCATGTAACTCATTTCTAAGACGATCACCGTGATCCCACTGAGCGTCCGAAGGTATACGCGGCCCCGAGCCCCCAGCGACGGCAGCACTGGACCATGCAGCGCGTAATATTGCTGAATGTCTAGGAATGTGAGGGCCATCTTCGTCAAAGCACTGCCCAGAGGAGAGCCCATCGCCAATCCCTCGACTTCCTTGCCGATGAGCGCTCCTAGCAGAAAGAAGCTGGTCTCAAGGTGGTGGGAGATAAGGTATTCGATATCGTCTAACGACAGCGTGATGTGATGGTCATGGATGCGAGACGGGAGACGGTCCTCCACAGAGACCGCTTTGTTGCCCAGGCGCGCGACGCGAACAGCCTGTATCGAGGTGGAGGCTGCTGAACGATAAAAGGCCCAGGCTCTACGAACAAGTGCGTGTGGGATGTTGGTGACGCAGCTCTTGACGTCCGCCCCCCGACCCCCTGACAGGTGTAAAGGGCGCGCGCTGGGAGAATTTCTCGGTCACGTCGATGGCCGCGTCCGTGCGGTTGATGTCAATGTTGGCGTGGCTGGGCAGGAACACCGAGCTGATCCAATCCAACGCACGGGAGGCTGGCGTGTCAAGGCAAGCCGTTGGCCAGCGAGAGCGATTGACTATGGGCCGCCTGTCGTCCAGTTTTTCGAGCTTTTTATTGGGGGTGCTTGCTTCAGCCATCCTCCAACGGGAGGCCTTGCTGATCATTGCTGGCTGGATTCCTGCCGACAAGCCAGGGACGACGGCAACTCGCCCCAAAATTACTTCGACCGTGAGCTCCGGATAGTATTCAAAATGATGGTCCTGCCCAGCAGCCCCGAAGATCGCTCGCCCCAGAAGTTGAATCTTGCGGCCTATTGCGAACACCATTTGTGCTCTATCCTTGTAACCGTTGCAAGCTTGCAAAACAAAAATCTTGCGGGGGCATTCTGCAACGAGAACCCGACGGGCCTTCTGGAATTCCCCAATCACTAATCCGTCCGAGAGCGTGCGCATGCTAACGATGTCCTCACGGCGCACCGCGTCGTAACCAAGCGTGCAGGACGCGGCCGAGCTCAGCAGGAAGTCTTCCATGCGGGAGGCCATGAGGCTCGCAGGGCCCTCCTCCAACGGAATGCCCGTTGCTTTCGCGGCTGCCTGCACGGCTGCGGCGCACCGAGATACCACGGCCGCACGGTGCGGGACCGCAGACGTATGGCACGGTGTCTGTCGGAGCCTCGCGAGGTCCGCAGGCCACGGCCAAGAGCCCTGTGGGGCGAATCCATGAAGGCAACCATCTGGAGACAGTGCGCGAGGGAGGTCTGGGAATGACGAGCAGACGCAGGGCCACGGGTCTGGCTCGTGAAGCCGACGGTAGAGCTTCGGTGCGTTTCTGAGAATGCCCCTGATCGTGAGGGCGGACACCTGGGCGACGCCCAGTCGGAGGTCCCCCAAAGCGGGAAGGAGGACTGCAAATCCACGTCCGCGAGCGTGCACAACCAAATCTGATAGTAATTTGCGAGCTCCTTCCCTGACGGCTGAATCAAACCAGGAAGCCACGGTAGGGTAATGTGTATCGTTGAGCGAGGAGTTGGCCAGCGACGGAATCGCCGGACCCGATCCAAGAATACCGTTCCCATTCGGCGGGGAATACCATCCATGCGTCTATGAACGTGGTGCCAGACTGCTCCGAGAAGGCTCCCAGAAGTCCAGAGGCCCCCCCTTCTGCGCGAGAACCCCCCCGGCCTGCTGAGAAGCACCGCCCCCCCCCCCCTCGGGGAAAGGCCGCCCCCTCGCCACTCCCTCGGGCTCAGGGGCAACGAGAAGGGGGGGATGTGCATAGGGGGGGATGCATCGCCCCTCAATCGCCCACTGAGCGCCAATGGGGGCCCGAAAGCCCCACCCCGCCCAGGAAGGTGCGGGATCACTATCGGGGGCATATCAGCGACCTATCGGCGATGTATCGCCGATTCCAGGTCGATGCATCCCCCCTGTGCCTATCCCCACCTGTCGTTGCCCCTCAAGGAGACGCACTGGATGAACGTGGTCAACTTCACCACCATCACCTGCGCCCTGCTCATCACCTGCCTCGGCCTCAGGCCTTCGGCGGGCCGCGCCCCCCCCCTCTGGGGGAACGAAGAATGGCATAAACATAAAAGCTCAGAGGTCCGCGCGGATGTCTCCCCCCTCCCTGGCGCGCGCAGCGCGCCGGGGGCGGCGCCGCAGGCGCCGCCAGGAAGGCCCAGCGCCGATTCGAGAAATCCGCACGGACCTCCGAGTTGTCACGTTTATGTCACTGTTCCTTCCCCTACCCTTCCGCCGGGCACGTCCTCTACAGGAGGAACATTCAAAGATAGTAAAACAACAGTCTAGGGACGACTGTTTTACTATTTCTATATTTTGGAATAGTTTTCTTCTATTTCTAATTTTTCGCCCAAAATCCACCTGTAGGGGGACACGCTCGACCCAACCCTACCCGCGGCTGGCGGCGTGGGCGCCCCGTGCGCCACCCGGCCGCCCGGTGCCGTGGCTGGGCCGCGCCCCCTTGCAGAAGAGCAGGCCGCGGAAGGAGGTTCCCATCGGGGGCAACGCCAGGGGGCACAAGTGTCTAGACTTAAGTCGGGCCTGTCCCTCTCCACGGGAGGAATATTCAAAAAGAGTCACAAAATAGTCTGGGGACGATTTTTCTACTGTGGTTGACTGTTCTTGAGCATTTTTTGACCATGTTTTAGTTGTCCTCGAAAATCCGCCTGTAGGGAGGCATGCCCGACCTAAGTCTAGACGCCTCGCGCATGCCCACCAGCCCATCCAGGTACGATGCCCAGGTCGGAGAGCCACCCTTCCAGAAGCTGGCCTCGCGAGGGCGCGATGACAGCCGCGAGTCGCGCATCGCGGGGCGCGACGCGCGAAGTTAGGCGACCAGGGATCCCACCTCGCAGGTAGAGGGCGGAAGGCTTCTTAGAAGCACCCCTGCTTCTTCGAAAGCGAGGGCCTTGTCTGTAGATGTAGGGCCAGCGCCTTCTAAGAAGCAGCCTCCTATGAAGCTTTCCCCCCCCCCCCTCGCTCTACCCCCTCGTGCGCGCCGCGGAGGTGGTGGTAGGACGGGGCTAGGACGAGAATCAATCCGTTCCAGAGCGTTCCAGAACGCTTTCAGAGCGTTCTGGAAGACTCTGAAAAGGCCGCGGCGCCCGAGGCATCCTCCAGAGCCGCCGGATCTCAGAGATTCTCGATTTACCCTCACCCGAATTTATCTCCGTCCCAGCTTGATGATGTTCCAACCTACTTTAGCCTTGATCACCAGAGCGAACTTCGAGCACGAAGAAAATACCAACACTTGAGGGCTTTCACGCGTCGGGCCCCGGGAGGCGATACTCGTTCGACACTGTTTCGATAGTTTTCTGGGTGCTCGAACTTAGTTCTGGGACGTGGGATGGGAGCAGCGTAATCCTGGCTTCGTCTCAGGCGGGTGGCTGCCGCGGCGCGCGCCCCGGCAGGCACGTCGTGCCGGAGGAGCCGCCGGTGACGCACTGGCACCCAGCAGCCTCAGGACTTCCCGCCCCGCTCCGGGCCGCCGGGGGGGGAGCTGCGCGGACGACTCGTGTGCACCGCACCGCGCTGGCATCTCCCGAGGCGTCGTCGAGTCTTGACCCAGGAATGATTCGGCAGTCTTGAGGAACGGTAGAACATAATTTGTTCCGCCGCTTGGGACGCCTCCCCCAGGGAGGCTGGACAGCTTATACCCTTCTTACGGTGGTGATTCGGCACCGATCCGCGTTGGAGCGCGGCCCAGACGGAGTCCAGACATGCGGTACGGTGCGTGGGCGCCGCTCCCATATTCAAATCTCAGTGTTGAGGTCAAGGTTTTCGGCCGTTTTCGTAGCTTCGGCTTTTTCGGACGCTATCATGCTGCGTTCGGGATTTTTGGTGCTCCCAACCATCCTGTGGTGTTGGGTCCTCGTTTTGAAAAGAGAGTCCCTCCCTCCTTCCAACTCCCCCTCCTCGTCTCATCATCGGCATCGTCACCCTCGTTTCGGCACACCCCTCGCACGTTTCGTGGCCCCGTGGGGAGCTCCACCTATGGCCACAGTGGCTCAGCACGCATCTGGGCGACAGCCCCGTTTCGGCCCCCCCCTCACACGTTTTGTGGCCCCAGAGGGAGCTCCACCCGAGGCCCAAGTGGCGCAGCCCGCATGTGGGCGACAGCCCCGTTTCGGCACCACCCTCACACATTTCGAGGCCCCACAGGTGGCTCTTCCAAAGGCCCCAGTGGGGCAGCCCGCATGTGGGCGACAGCCCCGTTCCGGCACATCCTTCACACATTTCGTGGCCCCACGGGGAGCTCCACCCAAGGCCCCTATGCCACGGCCCGCATGCGTCCCCCCCACCCATTTCGGCACACCCCTTACACACTTCGTGTTTCTATAGGGACCTCCACGGAAGATGGTACTTGGTATTTACGATTGCGGTTCTCACAATTGTATGGTTGGGTCCTCCGCCAGGCTCACTTCCGTTGTCGCCATGCGTCCGTGAAGTCCCATGTAGTTGTTGTCGTTTCGTTGTCTACGGATGTGTTTAAGCTTTCGCAGTTGAGGTTCGAGGTTTCCAGACGTTCTCATAGGTTCTCAGTGGGGTTTTCCAGCCTCAGGGGTGCTCTCCAGCAGACGCGCCTCGCCCAGAGCGCTCTGGGGTACCCGGATCGTCCCAGACGGCCGCCGGAGAACCTGTTATGTTTCGGAAGCCCAGGGAGGAGGAGGGAGGAGTAGGAGGAGGAGGACGGAGGAGGAGGAGGAAGAGGAGGAGGAGGACGGAGGAGGAGGAGGAGGAGGAGGAGGAAGGAGGAGGGGAGCGCGGTGCGGGAGCACGGAAGCTCTGCGCCCCATTCGGCTTGCGGGAGGAGGGAGGGGTTGAGTGGTGGAGGACGGAGGGGGGGAGGAGGGAGTATCTACGCATCAAGGAGCAGATCAAGGGTGGTCTCCGCAGTGCAGTCAGACAGCTCCCATCTTCGCCAGCAGAGTGACACCAGTCGCCGTGGGCGCCGACCGACGTGCCTCCACAACGTGAACAACAAGTTGCTCGTACTGGTCGAGCAAGGATGGGAACCAAGAAGTTTGGAGGACAACCCAGCCAAATTGAAACGGTGTGCTTTCCACAAGGTCGCAGACCACCTGGTGAATTATACAGTGGATGAACGAGAGTCTTGGCGCCAGTGACTTCAAGCACCTGGTGAGAGTCGTCTTTCTCAGGATACAAGCATTATAGTAAACGGCGATGGGGACGCTCAGCAAGCGTCTTGTTCTGCAGTTGCATTACACGTCGAAGTGCACATTCGCACGCCTGCGCGGTGAAGCTCACATGTTTGTCCCAACCATGTTGTGGTGGTGGGCCCTCGGTTTGAATCCGCGGCGCCACGCGTTTCGCTCCTTCCTCCTCACCTTCCGCCCTCTTTCTTTCCTCCCCTCTCTGCCTATGCCCTCTGCACGCCCGCTTTGGCACACCACTCACACGCTTCATGGCCCCATGAGGAGCCCCACCGAAGCCTGGAAGTGGGCGGGCATGCGGTCCCCCCAACAATCTCGGCACACCCTTCACGCTTCGTGTCTCAGTCTAGGGAGCTTCACCGAAGCCACCCGGAGGTCGCGTTGCGTACAGTCCCCAGGAAGGAACAAAAACACAGACACAATTAATTGTCGATTCCCTCGAGAATATGGGACAACATGGAAAGTGATGAGGGAAGCCGAAAATCTAAAAAATATGGAAAAACATGAGGAGTCCTGGGATTTGTGTGTGTATATTTATTCGTGTGTCCCTGGGCCCCTTCAAGTCCCCCCGACCATTTTGGCACACCCTCACACTCCGTGGCCCCAATAAGGGAGCTCAACCGAAGCCCCGATGGGGTGGTTTTGCATGCGGACCCCCTAGACAGCCCCGTCGAAGCCCCCAGGGGGGGTGTTGCATGCGGGACCCGCGACCATGCCGGCACAACCCCACACGCTTCGTGGCTCAACAGGCGGCCCCACCATTGCCCCACAGGGTGTGGTGTTGCAGGCGGTCCCCCAGACCGTTTCGGCACACCGCTTCAGTTTTTCGCGGCCCCATCGGGAGCTCAACCGAAGCCTCGATGGGGTGGTGTTGTAGGCGGTCCCCCCGACCATTTCGGCGCACCCCTCACACGCTTCGCGGCCCCAGATAAGGGAGCTCCACCATGGTCGCATAGGGCGCGCCCCCGCCAATCTGTCGGCACACCCCTCATACGCTTCGTGGCCCCAGGAGGGAGTTCCACCGTGGCCGCATAGCGCCACCCCCGCCATTGTCGGCACACCCCTCACATGCGTCGTGGCCCCCTACGGAGCTCCACCAAAGGCCTCAGTGGCAGGGTGCAGCATAGCGCCCATCCGCCAATTTCGGCACACTCCTCAAATGTGTCGTTGCCCCGCAAAGAGCTCCACAGCAGGCCTCAGTGGCAAGGCGCTGCATGGCGTTCTCCCGCCAATTCCAGCACGCTCCTCACACGTCTCCTGGCCCCGCAGGGGGCCCACCGAAAGGCTACGTCAGATCATTTGCCCTGTGCCTGGGGTGGCTCCAACAGGTGGTCGTTTTTTTATTCATTGTTTTGCCGATCGGCGCGGGCCCTCGCATCCCCCCCCCATGGAGTAGATCTTGGCTGTCTTTGGCGCTTGTTTCGAGCAGGTGGAGTCTCCCCCATAATGGACGCGTCGCACTAAGCAGAGGTCCGGAGCCAGATCCCCCTCCCTTCCCCCCTCTCGCGCCCAGTGTCGAAGCGCCGAATATTCAAACGTTCGCAAGGCCATCACGCGGGCGCAGCGGCGCGTGCACAGGTTCCGAAACTCCTGACGCGGATTCCATGCAAACTACGGTGGCAAAGCGAGGCGCTGCCGACGTGCTTCGCAGATTGGTTTCGGAGGATACACGCGGTGGCTGTGAAGTCCACGACGGGGCCCAAGACTATCGCCTTGGCAGTGAGTAAGGTGCGAAGATGCAGACTACCCAGAGCCTAAAGCCACCCTTGTGGTAACACTGCCAATGTCCACCTGGCCGACGCTGGCGGCACATTGCCAGGCCCAGTTGAAGACGCAGAGTTCCCGACACGACGAACAGGTTCGCAATGATGAACCACAATTGCTTGCCCTCGCTGTGGATGCCGCTGGGGAAGACATGGCATGAATAACGCAAGCCCCCCCGCCCCAAAGAGGGCAGTGGATGAGCGTGGAGTTGAAGATCCCATAGCCAACCTGCAACTTGGGTTGCAAATTCAGTAGAGGTAAGCCTGGGTCTTGCTAAAGCCAGTTCATGGATCCAGATTGTGGCAGAACGTCACAGACCCATGTGATGCTACGGAACTGACCAACTTGCCGATCGGGAGGAAGAGCGAACTTGCGTCCCGATGTAACCGAGATGCTCAGGGCTGAACTGGGAACGAAGCCACGGATGAGGTCCCGGTTGCGCCAAACAGATCCGGCCGGGTGATTGGCCAACACCTACGGAGTGCAGGTTGCGACTTCCAGTCGGAGCGCGAACATAATATCAATTATGTTCTCACGATGAACTAGCCGACTATGGATGTGAATACAAAGATCATTATTTTCACATGACGAATTGTAGGACCACAGCAATCGTCACCAACCGAATTGAAGACGGTTCCGCACCAATCGTGGATGTTCGGCGAGCGTGTCTGAAGGACCTTGCGTTCCCTTTCGCGCGGCCGAAGTAGCAGGCGTGCCCAAGTAGCAGGTGTAGCTAGCTAGCTCCCGCCCCCCGCCCCCCCGCAGGTCGCAGCGACGACATGTCGGAGACCATCGAGCAGGTCGCCAAGCAGTGCAAGAACGCAACTACGTAGGAGCAGAAGCTGGACGCCATGCTCAGCGAGGTGATGCTCACCAACAGCACCGCGAGCAGCATCTCCACACGCGCGGAAGCGCTTGAGACGGGCATGACGGATATGACGGGCTCGGTCGCCAACCTGAGCACGGAGGCCGCTTCTCTGAAGCGCCGTGTGGATGCGTGCGAGTCCCGTGGAACCGGCGCCTTTGGCTCCGGCGAGTTTGGTGGAGTGCAGGATGGCCCAGACAGCAAAAGGATGGCGGATCCAGAGCTGCGCCTACCAATCCCGATGAGGACGACGGTCATTATTGGGGGCTTCGATCCGTGCACCGAGAATGAGGAGATGAAGGAGCTTCTAAAAGGAACGCGGGATACAGCACAGGGAAAAGTCAAGAGGGCACGGTATCCTAAACATGGTCGGATCTGTAAGTGGAAGATGAACACCCTCGGTGACATGTGGGACTTAATTGTGAAGTTCAAGACCGGAGCAATTCAGATCCAGACGCACTCGGGGCGAGATTGCATGCCACATGTAACAAATCCGAGCAAGAGCAGCAAGATGGTCTACACATGCAGTGCCTTCTTCAGACGTTCTGCGAGCTCGCGCCTGTGGTCAACGGCCAATCTTCAAACCGGCGTGGGAGAAGAAGCAGCTGGCCCGGGTGACAGAAGGCCAGCCGAGGGGAGAGGTGGTTCAGGTCAAGGGGG